AATTTTTGTCACCCCTCCAGTTTTAAAAATTGAGACTGTTGGCTGGGTTGGGGAGGGTAAAGTTCTAGAGGTTTCCATTTGGTCTTCCTGATTATGATAGCTCTTACCTTATAGGCCAAGTAATTGATGTGTGCTACCAAAATCCACGTAGGCTCAAGTCCCTTATACAAAATGGCAGAGTGTTTGCATATAACACATGCACATCTCTGCATGCTATAAATCCCCTAGGCTACCTTATAACATCAAATGCAATGTTATTGCTATTCAGATTGTTAAGCACTTAGGAATAATGACAGGAGTCTTTCTGCACTTTATACACAGTGTTTTTTCCTCTCTGGATCTTTGAGTCCTTAGTTGGTAGAACTCACTGACACAGGGGGCTGATTGTCCACTTTAATGATATATTCAGGTAAGACTACAGGACTCATTACTGTATACAATTCCTGGGAATCTAATCTTCAAACGTGAGGTTCCAGAAATTGACTTAGGTCCTGAAATGGGTCAAGGGATGGTGACTTTCTTTTGGGTAGCTTTTCTTGTCCTCCCTTATCTACCCTTGACCTTAGTTATTGATCTAGCAGGCAGGTGCAGGGTAGACAGATCCTGAGCAGAGTGTGTATTGATACACTTCTTGATGAAAAAGAAGTGAGGTCCTTCTAAAACCCAAAGCAGTTAAGGTGGTGCGGGATTTTAAGTACTTTATCAACCTGGATGCCCAATTACAAGTGTACTGGCTCCATTTCTTACCAGCTCTGGCACTAACCTTGGCGTCGCAGCTCACCAGGACTGTGAATCTTTTTGGGGTTTTTCCCTTTTAGTTAAGTTGTAAACCTGATTCTCAGCTTTTTCTGATTTGTACTCTTTACCACTTATTTGCTGCCAAACAGGTAGTCTTCTGTTCATCCTTAGCCTTTATCTGGTGATTAATCACTCTCAAGCTTGCATCACCTTTCTCCAATTCTCAGATTTATTCCATCAATAGCTGTTCATACCACTGTTCTTAAATGATCAATTTCTCCATGTCTGAAATATGTCTGGCATTGGGGCAGGGGTGGCTGGACAGAATGGCACCCACCAGCATGTGTGTGGGCTGGAAAGTAGGGCTGGTTGGGTTGAACTAGGCTTCAATGCCCATTGACATGTAAAAGAGCTGAATGGGATGTGGGACAGACTAGACAAGTCTGCTGTACATACTGGCAAGCATGGGAACCAGGGTAGGCGGCAGTCTTGGTGGGGGTTATTGGGAGTTGCCCTGACTAGGTTGCAGCTCCCACTGGTTTGTGAGAGGGCTAAGTGTGTCCTGGGCAGAATCAGGCTTGACTGAAACACCCACTGGTTTGTGTGGAAGACTGGCCTGGAAACAGAAATGACCCAGTAAATGCAACCACCAGCATAGGCATAAGATGACTGGAGCAACAGACTGTGTTGGACAATGTAATGGCATTCACACACAAGAATCAGATCTGGGATCACCTTAGACAAAGTTTCTTTGGGGATCCCTCCAACTGAACTGCCTGTCTCAGAACCCCAATCATGAAGAGAAGTGCAGGTTCCATAGACTGACCATGGAGTGCATGTGTCAAAGCTGAACCTCTTCAGAGGCTGAGACAGAACAATGGACAGCATATTCAAATGCACATAGAGGAAACGGCAGTTCATTGGAGCCTGCAGAGGACACCTAGCACCACAACAGAGGATGGAGGACAGAACAAACCGATTATCTTCCCAAGCTATGTGTTGGCAGTGAGGATCTGGGCAAACAGAGATTCTAAGGTAGATTATGTCAGGCAGTGGGTTCTGGAAAGATTTCATCATGCTTGGAATGGCAAGATTGGTAGCAATTCAGAACTGTTGAACTATTGAAATCACTTGAGCTTGGCTCTTGGAGCATGCCCCACATCAGGAACCCTGGGATGGGGCAGGAGGTCGAGTGGAGCTTCTCCCTTTATCTCCCTTCTTATACCCCAGATACATACACACAAAAAATGTGGAAACAATGGTCTTACCCATTTTCCTGTAACTCTTGACTCTTTGTGCCCTCATCAACTATGTAAAGATTATATATAAATAAAGAATATTCATAAAATAAGAAATATTTCTGGCAGACGGCATTGTTCCACTGGTGCTACACACCAGCTACTCCATTACTCCACCACTGCCAAGCATTTTAACATTATACCACCACAGCATATTAAGGCCTACCAGGCTATCACCTACCAGGCTATGATTCTAAGATTCTTAGAGAAAAAGAAAAGGAAAAAACTGGCAGAACTTATTGCCTTAAAAAAAAAAAAAAGGAAGAAAGATGACCAAAAGAGACATTTAGAACTATACCAAACACCAACTGGCTCCTGTTAACACAGTGCAGTTTGGAGCAGTAAAGATACAAATCTAACTCTATTCTACTCTGTAGTTTATGCCTTTCCACTAGACCAGAGCTAGTCAAATTGCTGTTTCATGAGCCAATTCAGGCAACAGATACGTTTTGTTTGGCTACTCAGCATTTTTTTATTAAGTGAATTGGCTTCTACAACACACAATTGTTAGTTTATGCATAAGTTCTGATCTCCAGCTTCTGAGTAATCAGATCCAGCAATGCTGGGTCAGCATTCCTCCATGGCAGTAACTGATGTGACAGTGCCTTCTTGAAGGGGGAGAGCAGGAGGAGTGCTCGAGTTCACTGCTGCTTGTATGCCTTACCTTCTTTAGCATCTTGGTTTTGAATGCTAGCCTAACCAAATGAATGGTAGATCTCGGGCATCTGAACACAATACCGGCTCAACAGCACCGAATGAATTTAGTTGGTGAAGAGGGCAGGGTCAGGTCTGCACCTCCAACCAGAAGGAGAGTTGGCACTCAGGGCAGACAACAGGACCACAAGTACAGAGGAAGAGGAATTAGAGATGTTGCCAGTGATTATGCAAAGAGCAGAGGGCCTAGGCACCAAGTTCAGGTGTCTTAGTCTCAAGTTAGACAGCAACAGCGAACCAGAGAAGGAGCCAGATCATGAGAGGAAAGAAATACAGGGGACAAAGGCTATGCCAATGCAGGCAAGGGAGATGGGGCGCGGGCAGCTGTGTCCAGGGGTGGGGACGAAGAGGAATGTACAGGCCAAAGGCCTGACAACAAGGAGGTGATTAGGGACTTTCAGAGGATGTCTAAGGAAAAGAAATGAAGGTCACGGATGTAATAGATACGAGAATGTTATTTAAGGGTATGACTGAGAACTTCCTAAGGGGTCCTGGCCGGAGGAAAGCACAGACTCATTTCCTATTGATTCTTGTCAGCACTGTCATCATTTCTGACATCAATCAGTCAATATCCATGTTGCAGCCTTAAGGAAGGGGTCAAAGAAATACCCTTTGGTTCTTGTAGCAGAATGAAGCACTAATGCAATACATAACTAAATTCCTATGGAGATTGGAAACTTGTCTCACAGATGTCTCTGAGTTACAGCCTTGTGGGTTTTCTGTGGTCAAATCAAATTTCTAATTCAGCTATGCTTCAGATTCAGAGGCCTAACCAGCCGGTCAGTGTAGACTCAGAGCATGCAAACTTTTGTTTAATTTTAGCTTCAGTAAAATGTAGAGAAAAATGAACGAAAGAATAATTTACTGTAAAGTCCAGTGTCATATACAGATGAACTCTCTACTGTATCCGGACTGCAATCTTTTCCCTGGAAAACCAACACCATCACTTCCACAGCAAACTGTCCAACTCCATTGGGGTGGCCTCTCCATCGCCAAGAGGGTCAAGGTTCCTACCGACCAGCCTTGTGGGACGAGGAATGCACCGGGTTAGTCACCTAAGCAAGGGCTTTAAAGGCTTTTATGAGGGTGGTGAAATTTGAGTCTTTCTATTACAATTAAGCAAAAGTTTCAGGAGCTCGGGTGCCTATCAGTTCAGCGGGGAGGCTATTAGGGCTGCAATTCCCGAGTCTTTGTTTTTTGGGTCAAGCAGTGCGATGAAAGAGACCTTTAAAAAAAACAACACAAGGGCCCTGCGGTGTGGCCTAGTGGCTAAAGTGCTCGCCTTGAATGCGCCGGGATCCCATATGCGCACCGGTTCTAAGCCCGGCGGCCCAGCTTCCCATCCAGCTCCCGGCTTGTGGCCAGGGAAAGCAGTCGAGGACGGCCCAAAGTCTTGGGACCCTGCACCTGCATGGGAGACCCGGAAGAGGTTCCTGGCTCCTGGCTTTGGATAGACACAGAACTGGCCATAGCAGCCACTTGGGGAGTGAATCATCAGACAGAAGACGTTCCTCTCTGTCTCTCCTCTCTGTATATCTGACTTTCTAATAAAAATAAATTAAAAAAAAACAACAACAACACAAAACTCACAGACGCTCTCTCGGCTTTCGCTCTTCCTGTGGGTCAGCAATCCACAGAAAGCAGCCAGGCCCTGGAAGCCGTGTGATTCTCTCTAAGCCTACGGCGGCGAGCGGCCGAGGCCAGGGCTCCCCAGAGGAGCGGCAGGGAGCGGCGCGAGGAGAGAAACTCTAGCCCCAGGGCGCCCTCGCGTCCAAGCCCGGGAGCGGTCCAAACCCGGAGGCCGGCGGGGGAGGTGGGCAGCCCGCGGGGGCCGGCGGCGCGGGCAGCGGAGGCTCCGGGACCCGCTCGGACTCTCCGAGCCGGAACCCGGCGCGGGTCGAGGCGAGCCCCGCGGCGAAGAGGGACGCGCGCCACCCGGGCCTCGCAGGAGCTCGGTGACGTCACCTCCAGGAGGGCTCGCTTTTTCATTAATGAAACCGGCCGGCGCGCGCGCCTGCGCGGCAGGCCCCTTCCCTCTCGCTTCCCCCTCCCCTTTCCCAGCCGCGCTCTCAATCTCGAGCTCGCTCGCTCTCCCTCTCCCCGGGCCGTGGAAAGGATCCCACTTCCGGTGGGGTGTCATGGCGGCGTCTCGGACTGTGATGGCTGTGGGGAGACGGCGCTAGTGGGGAGAACGACCAAGAGACCCCCCTCCCCTCCCCGGGTCCCCTCCCCCCTGCCCCTTCCCCCCTGCCTCCTCGCCAACGCCCCCTTCCCCTCTCCCCTTCTCGGCCTGGCGCGGCGCCCCCAACCCCACCCCCGTGGGAACGTTCGGAGCCTGCACTCCTCAGACCCCTCTCTTCGCTTCTTTGCTCACCTCAGCCTCGGCTCCCCGCCCTCTTCCTGGCCCTGGGCGCCGGCCGGCCGGTCCCTCCGCCGCCCCCCGGCCGCGGGGAGGACATGGCCGCGCACAGGCCGGTGGAATGGGTCCAGGCCGTGGTCAGCCGCTTCGACGAGCAGGTAACGGGCCCGTGGCGGGCGGGAGGTGGGGAGCCGGGTGGGGGTGGGGACGGGCTGGGTGAGGGGAGGAAGGAGCGGCCGCCTCCCCCCGGCTGCCTGGGGCTCCGCGGGGAGCAGGGGCCGTCGTGGGGGTGGCCCCGGGGGGCCTCGGCTGGGAGCTGGGGCTCCCCTAGCCTCCTGAAGCGGGGGGGTGGGGCCTTCTCCGCGGCCGGCCCGCCGACCCCTGCATCCCTTTTATCCCAGCCCTTCCGCTGGCTCCCAGGGATGAGGGAGCTGGGGGCGCTTTCGGGGGCGCTCCATCTGGATTCAATCGTGCTGCCTTACTTTTTATTTATTTATTTGTTTTGAACGGAGCTGACTAACATTTAGGGGCTCCCTCTTCCTCTTCCCTCCGTGAGCCTCTTCATGGTGTGTGTGTGTGTGTGTGTGTGTGTGTGTGTGTGTGTGTGAGAGAGAGGGGGTAGTGTGTGAGTACGGGCCTGTTTGGTGTACCCCGCCTAGGAGAAGGCTAACATCCCGCCCCTCCCCCAGTTCTTCAGCTTCCTCTCTTGGAGGGGGAAGAGTAGAAGAAAGCAGGGAAAGCTCAGGTTCTCTTACTTTCTGCTCTCTCGTCGGCCTGCCCCTTCCCCCAGCTCCAAGTGCACGCGCACACACACACACACACACACACACACACACAAAACACACACACACACCCCGCACGCACTCCTTGCTCCGTGCGGGGCCCCCCAGCCCCATGACACCCGACGGCCTTTCCGTCGCCGGCTGCCCGGTGGAGGAAAACCTGGGTTCTCAGACACTTTCCCTCCCTGTCCTCGCGTGCTGCCCCGTTCTCTGGCCGGCGGTCCGAGGCTGGGAATTTTGGCTTCTGGAGCGTTGAGCCTCGAGGAATGAGGGGAGGAAGGGGAGCAAGCTGAGAGTGGGGCTGCATCGGAGCTGCTGGCCACCGCCAGCCCAGGCCGCTGGGCCGTGGTCCAGGAGCTGTGATTCCGCCAGTGCTGCTGATGGTTGTTTTTGATTCTCGCCTCCCGGTTGACAAGAGAACTTTCATTGAGAATATTTGGGGGGGGGGTAGTTTCATAGTTTAGGGAAGTGGCTTTATGTACCCTGAGTTTCCGCGGCTGATCCGAGTGAAGGCTCGGGTGAGCTTTTTGTCAATGGAGTGAGTTTAACTTGCTGTTGCTGCGGGTGGCTGGAGATGGTTTAAAGGGAGGCTTTGGCAGCTCCTGTTCTACCGTGGGCTTCCTGTGATGAGGGAATTGTTCAAGACTGAACCGCCGCATTTTGTTTACGGGATATAATCATGAAAGTGATGATGAGAATTGAGGGCGAGAAAGGGCCTTCTTTTATTTGATTCACAAACATTGTCTTGCAAAACTTGACAGCTTTTCTGGTTTATCTGAGAGGTATTGGGGAATAGGCAGAGGAAATCGAGGAGGAAACTACAGAGATATGATAAAATTACAAAGCTCTGGGAGTCTTAAAGTTGTTTAATTAACCTGATGCTTTCAGGATGGTTTCCAGCAACTGTACTGCTAACCCACCTGATGATGTAAAATCATAGGTTATGTTATTGACAGAGCATAGGATTCAAACTTCATAGAAAAGACTTTCTGCATGTCATTAAAAAAATGTTAAGGCACCAAGGAGTCCCAGAACGGTACCTGTCGATAACATAATAAAGACTCAAGGATCTGAAGGATTCAACCATACTTGTTCCTAGTATTTACAAATTACGAAAAGGGTTTCTTTCCTGTTTTTGCTGTTTCTTCATTTCTTACATGTTGATGTTTAGGCATGCTTACTATATAATCTTTTAACATAGTTTTCTAAATTTCAAGTGGAGTGATTTTTGACTATATGCCCAGCAATGTAAGAACAGGTTTCTGATTCAGTCCCCAGGGTTAACAAGGCTGTAAGCTTTGCCGCTTGCTTTGTGGTATCTATTATAGAAATCAAACTCACTGCCATCTGTTAAAAATCGAGGATGCAGGTTTTTAAAGCAGGATTTTCTGTATTCCTGGATTGTAATCAGGAGAAAGAGGCATAGCACAAGTTAGCTATTCCTCACATTCCCCCCCCCCCTTTAGAACTAGGATAACATCCCCTGACTTTGAGGTACAAAATGTAAATGTATGTATTTAATGTAAGTTACTTATAGCTGATTTATTGTAGCAGTAATAACTGTATAATTTAGAGTTCCTGTTGAGGTTGCAAGCTTCCAGTGAGTAAACTGAGGCACCACAAACTTGAGTGACGCGGTACACCTGCCAAGCAGAGCCTCAGAGCAGAAATGCTGCATGCTGAGAACACGGGGAAAAAAAGCCCTGCTGTGCTCAGAGATGTGTGCATCATAGTTTTAATTGTTTCAGCAGTTTCTAAAAGTGGTGCGTTTTGGATATTTTCTCAGAACTTGTTTCACTGGATCTGGACGAGGATTTCTTTTTTTTTTTTTTTTTTGGTGTGCCCACCCTAACCCCCCTTTCAGTTTCTTTTTGTTGCAGCTAACACACCTACATTGTGTATTGAGCCATTAAAGTGCCCAGAGGCCTGTTTGTCTGAAGATGGCAACTTTGCTGATTGAATTGATGTTTTGGTTGGATTTTTAGTAATGATGATCAAAGCAGAAACACATTACTCGCCATTGCTGGTTACAGGCGTATTGAATTCTGATGGATGTTGCTCAGCAACTTGGTGCTGCAAACCTTGTTGAAAGAAAAAAGTGGGATGGAAGAGAGAGAGAGAGAGACAGAGAGACAGAGAGAGAAGTGGGAAGTTGCATCTTCACTTATTCAGCCCAAATCCTTGTTTCCAAACAGATGCAATGTAACTTGCTGATGCTGCTCCTAAGCATATTGCCAATGGCTAAACAATTGTTACCAGTTTTTAAAGTGATCACATTTAAGGTGATTAGGGAAATAGCAGTTACAAACTGGAAAATGGAATGTATCTGTTAACATTTTCTGGCTCTCCTTAATCTGCCTTTGTGGTGTTACATAGTAAATTTCTCAATTGGAATTGGCACATTTTAGATGTATAGTTTTAAGTTGTGGCTCAGTAACCTGATTTATTAAAAAAAAAAAAGGTGGCTTATTGCTTGTTTCAGCTAGTCCTTGTTCCCTCTTAAGTCCTTTTAGGGCTTTAATTTTAAAAGGGAATAGAAAAATACTGATTACGTTAAGTGTTATGAAAGTTTAAAGAGGGATTCCCAAATGATTTGTCATGTTCATTAAGTATTATCCTTTCCATTTCTAATCAAGTGAAAATAATATATGAAAGATTTTAAAAGAAAATGTCACAAAAAGGAACTGATTATTTGTAATAGTGATTGGTCGTTGTTATACATTGAGGGAAAATCAGAGTGTTCTTTGAATATGCAGTATAAAAGTCATAGTGTGAGATGATTGGTAAGTGTCTTTGAAGCTACAAACCAAAGGGTAACTGACCAAATACCAAATAGATTTGTAAAACTTGGAGAATAACCTTTTTTTTTTAAAGAAATCTGCTAATTTTGTTCTTAAATGCTAGCCTGTTTTTTATTTATTATTTTTATTGGAAAGTCAGCTATATATATAGAGGAAGAGAGACAGAGAGAAAGATCTTCCATTCTCTGGTTCACTCCCCAGGTGGCCACAACGGCCAGAGCTGAGCTGATCTGAAGCCAGGAGCCAGGAGCCTCTTCCAGGTCTCCTGTGTGTATGCAGGGTCCTAAGGCTTTGGGCCGTCCTTGACTACTTTCCCAGGCCACAAGCAGGGAGCTAGATGGGAAACAGGGCTGCCAGGATTAGAACCAAGATTAAAACCAGAGCCCATATAGGATCGGCACATGCAAGGTGAGGACTTTAGGCACTAGGCTGCTGTGTCTGGCCCCTAGCCTGTAGTCTTTGAAAAACCTTGTAAGTTAAAAAATAATTACTCTTTGGGCCCGGCGAGGTGGCGCAAGTGGTTAAAGGTCCTCGCCTTGCACGCCTGGGATCCCATATGGGCGCCGGTTCTAATCCCGGCAGCCCCGCTTCCCTTCCAGCTCTCTGCCTGTGGCCTGGGAAAGCAGTCGAGGACAGCCCAAAGCTTTGGGAACCTGCACCCGCGTGGGAGACCCGGAAGAGGCTCCTGGCTTCGGATCGGCATAGAATCAGCCCGTTGCACTCACTTGGGGAGTGAATCATCGGATGGAAGATCTTCCTCTCTGTCTCTCCTCTCTGTATATCCACCTTTCCAATGAAAAAATAATAAAAATAAATTTAAAAAAAATACTCTTTTACAATAGGTGATATTTTATGGTGAGTGAAAAACAATCTGTATTCTTTATTCTAGAAATCAGCTTTCTGTCAAGATCTTTTTTTTTTTTTTTTGGAAAGGTAGATGAGAGAGAAATGAGAGAGAGAATATGCCTGCAAGGGGTTTGGGTCAGGCTTGTGCCAGGAACCAGGGTCTCTGGGCAATGGGAGCCCAAGCACCAGGCTGTCATCTGCCTCCAGGTTCATTAGCAGGGGGTTGCATCTGAAGCAGAGTTAGGTCTCAATGCCAGGCATCCTGAGGGTGTCTCATAGTGTGGTTTAGGGCTCTGTGCTGCCCCTTGGCACCTGTCTTTAAAATTTTTATTGAAAACATTTTGTCTAATTTTTAATTTTCTTAAATATAGTTTACATAGTTAAGGGGGTGCCCGCCTGTGTGGACCTCTGGTTAGGTGAGGAGGGTCAGGTACTGATGAAGGTGAGTGACACATGTTTCAATTTTTTTCTCTTCTTTGGCTGAAGGAGAGGAAGTGGAGAGGGCTGCTCGTTGCTGTCAAGCTGCATCAGTGCTCAGAGATGGGGGATGGTCCTCTGATGATACTTTAGGGATCCAGTGTGGGAAAGAGTGTTCAGAGGAGGGGGTTACTTCAGTGATTTTGATAGTTCTGAGTTGTTTCCGTTGCTCCAGGGTTGGTTGACAAAGTCTGCCATCATGCATCTACAGACCCAGGAATTTGCTGCAAAGCTTGGACAGGAGAGTTGTCC